CCTAAACCCTAAAGCGGTTTAGGGTTGAGGATTCAGAAAGGCTGGAGTGCAAGGGCCTTTGAAAGTAGGGCTTTCGGGGGGTTAAGAGAGAACCGTGCCGATCGAACCCGAAAGCCCCTAAAATAATACTTCTACGTAGTGATTGTGGTGGTCGGAATAATTACAAGTACTATTCCTTGGGGTTCCTTATGATAACTATAGAGTATACTCACAACGCCATTCTATTCTTTAAAGCCCCAAAAAAGACGATTCCACTTCCCAAGAAAACCCTCAACCTGAAGCTTTGTTGCTGGTCCTAGCAAGTCTTCTGCTGCAAACCCCTTTTATAACAAATTCGGATTGTACGTCAGATGACTGCATTTATGTTGAACTTACTTGTGACCGCAACTATGCAGCTTTTATCCCAAAGCCTTAAACCCTTGAATTCTAAGCCCCTGCTTTACATAGTCTTATGACTGGGAACGCGGTACTTCCACACTGAAGAGAGACAGCGTCGAATACATCGTTTGAGGGTTCAGGGTTCGGGTGGAGGGTTTAGGGTTTGCGGTTTAGTCGGGGGGTTAGGGCTTGGGTTCAGGGTATGTGAGGTTATTGACCGAAGGACTAAATTTTGAACCTTTAAGCCCCATGGCCCTTGACCCCGTAACTACGCCGTTATCTGAAGCATACTGAAACCCCTAAACCCTAAACTCCCGACGCGAAGTGCTTGTACGGCTCTGTCGCACAATATCAAAAACCTACAAAAACCCTATAAGCCCCTTTTAGGGTTTAGAGTCCAAAACCCTAAATTTTCGTGTAGAATACACCTTAAGGCCCCTGCACACGGGCCTGAAGGGTCCCCCCAACATTGGCCCGTTCCTGAAAGGCAGGGCATCGGTGCCATTACCGCGTACCTTTGGCACTCTGAGACATTGCTTCTCGGCTGCGAGAGGTTGCATCACGAAGACTAGGCAATAAAGAATAGTATTCAGGAACAGTAATGATGTAGGGTTTAGGGTTTAGTGTTTCAGGAATAGTATCTGTTCAGGTTCCTTAAATTTAATTTTACCATACTTTAGTGGTTTCTGGACCGCTTTTCTAATCAGAAAGGCCCCTTTTTTAGGCTCCCTTAACACGGAGTCTGAAGGTAGATGTGTTCTTGCAAGTAATAGAGGGGCCTAAACCCCAAGGGTCCAAGTACCCAATAATCATGTACTCTCCCAAATATTTACTTAAACCCTAAACCCTAAACCCTAAACCCTAAACCCTAAACAATAACTACTATCCGCAACCAAAGTACCTGATTATTGGGTCCTTCGGACCCTTAGGGTAACAATTAGAATAATAGGGTTTTTGGGGGTATATTATACTGTAAGTATAAGAAGGAGCCCCCCACAAGAATAGGGTTTAGGGGATTTAGGGTTTAGGGTTTAGGGTTTAGGGTTTAGGGTACAAGAATATAGGTAATTATTAAGTTATTAAGGCACCTAGAATAGAGCATGGTCGCCGTCGTCGTCTTCGTCGCCGCCGTAGAAGTAGATTCGCCGTAGTCGCCGCAGCCGTCGTGGTAGTGGTGGTATTGATACTGGCTCTAGAAGTGGCACTGGTAGTTGCAGTGATAGTGGTGGTAGTAGCCTTTGCAATCGCAGGGGTCGTCGTCCTCGCCGCTACTGCCGCCGCCGGTTCGTCCGCCCCTGTCGTGGTCGGTTTCTTCGTCTTCGTGGGCCTACTCGGCCCTCTTATCGTCGCCGCGGATGTAGAGACTGCCCATGCCATAAGCCGTAATACAGGGGCCTTCATAATTACCTACACTATTTTGGGGGGTCTATATTGTGATTACAGTATAATATGCCCCCAAAACCCTTCTAATTGTTAAGGACCCTAAACCCTATAAACCCTTATCGTAGCCCTTGTAGAACCCTTTAAGGAGCGCATTAAAGGAACCCCCAAAACCCTATTCTAATTAGTAAGGCCCCTGCAAAACAAGAGCAAGTCGTGCTACGGTGGGGTCAAACTTTAGGGTTCGGGGTTTGGGGTTTTGGGTTCAGGGTTTAGGGTTTATCTCATGGTCCCCAATAGCCGCCTAGGAGGTGCCCAACAAGCGTTTTCAATCCGTAGACAGCCGCAGAAGGCCCACAGCCATATCAAGCCCTACAGCAGCAAGACAGCTCCATCAAACCATGCAAACCGAAGCCCCGAAACCCTAAACCCTGAACCCGTGTCCTTGACCCCTAATCCCTAATCCCTCAACCCTACACCCGAACCTTAAACTCTAAACCCTTAAGCCCACTACCGAAAGCAAACCACCCCTAAACCCTAAACCCTAAACCCTAAACCCTGAACCCTGAACCCTAAACCCTAAACCCTAAACCCTAAACCCTAAACCAAGCCAACTGTAAGGCTGGTGTTGCTCTCCCACAACAGCCTTCAGCGGCTACTCGTACTTAGAAAGGTGGAGGTTTAGGCTTTGGGGTTTAGGTTTCTGGGTTTAGGGGTTTAGGGTTTAGGGTTTAGGGTTTAGGGTGTTGGGTTTAGGCTTTGGGGTTTTAGGTTTCAGAGGGGACGCAGTACGCACGACGTACAGCTAGCTTACAGACAGATTGTCAGAACTACGTTTGCTATGACTGCTTAACACAGAAAAACCGCCAAAACCCCTAAACCCTTAGCCCCAAATCCTAAACCCTAAACCCAAACCATGACTAACCACACTCCTGGTTACCGCCCATGCGCCTTCTGGTAGCTCCCCACAGCCAGGGCAGGAGTCAAGTTGGTGGTTTAGGGTTTAGGGTTTAGGGTTTTAGGGTTTTAGGCTTTAGGGTTTAGGGTTCGCCCTAAACCGTAACCTGAAACCCTAGGTCACTCTAAATCCCGTATTAGGGTTACAATAAGGACCTACAACAAAGAGGGTTTTGGTAAGCTATAAGGTAGACCCTACTTCTGTCTGGTGCTTAGCAAGGAATGGGGGAATGGGCTATTGGGACTACGATAAGGGACCTAAAGGGGGGCTATCATAGGGATCCGTTTCCCCCATTCCCTACTAAGCACCAGACAGCTTAGGGAACCCACAGCCTTGTTTTCTGAAGTTCAGCGCCGTCGAGAAGATCCAGTTTGATAACCCGAAGATCGACTAGCAGGCCTTCAATCCTCGAAAGTTACGGGTTTGGGTTTGGGTTTAGGGTTATCTAGGGTCTAGCCGGGGTTTAAATATAACTCTCGCTGTGAGAGTGCGCTTGTTAGTTGTTGTTATGGCTTCTATCATCTTTCACGCTACCGTTATCCTATCGGCTTGTGTAATTTATGTGGATATACGTTCGTGCGGGTATATGTATGTAACTGTTTGTTTGTATATACATATATATATATATATGATTGAGCATCCAAGGGTCCCCCTAATCCTAGCTCCCATAAGTCCCTAGACTAATGGATGCAGACGGCGGAGCGGCGCTCTCAATCCTAGTTGTCGCGAAGCCGGAGGGTTTGACAAGATGGGCAGCGGGAAGCCTTTCAATACTTCTAAACCCTCAACCCAAAAACCGTAAACCCCTAAACCCTAAACCCTAACCCTAAACCCAAAAACCCTAAACCCAGAACCTTAAACCCTAAACCCTGAACCCTAAACCCAAAAACCCTAAACCCTAAACCCTAAACCCTAACCCTAAACCCAAAAACCCTCGACAAAAATGGGGCCTCGAGAGCATTCCTGAGAGCTCCCACATGACATGTAGGGTTTAGGGTTTGTAGGGTTTAGGGCTTTTAGGGTTTAGGGTTTAGGGTTTAGGGCTTTTAGGGTGTGGGTTTAGGGGATGTGGGTTTGGGGTTCTGGTTGGATTAGGCTTGGCTCAGAAAACTGATTCTTGCGGTT